TCCATCATTACCCATATATATATATATATTGATATAATCTTTGTTATAAGATCCTCAAATATACTCACTATAGTTATTACTGTTGGGTTTGTTTCAAGCTATCTTGTCACTTTGATAACTAACGTAAAATTCCTATTCAACTTAGCATGGAGTTGGAGTTTCTTCTTTGTGCCATTTTTTTTTTTACTTTTAGGAATAAGTTTAGCTGATTATAATCCTAGCTTTATGTATTGTTCTCATTAAATTACTCCACTTATGTCAGTAGGTTGTCATAACAATATTCTCTTCATTAGCGACTTTAGCTTCACTAAACGTCTTCGCTTCACTTGGCTTTTTAACTTGGTCCTTCTCCAATTGGTTGACTTAAAGTCGTGCCTCTATACTCATTTCAAATAATCTCTATTTAAAGGTTCCATCAATTAGCTTCATGAAGTTATTGGTTGGTCAAAGGTGAATCATATATTTTATTGATGAACTTGTTTAACCCACAAACTAAGCAAACCCTAAGAGTGTTCTATTTTTAGCTTGACATCCACTTTTGAAGATCTTTAACTCTCTTCATATCATTAGAATATAACGCTAAAAATATCGTTATAGTTCTTATTGTAGTGATTACTGTCATGGTAGAAACTACCATTGTCATTTTTAACTTCACTACTTATGGCCTTATCAAGACTGAAATTTCTTAAGAGAACCCTCATATTTGGTGGAAAGAAATGAAGATGATTTTTAAAGAAGGAAATCATTTTTAAAGAAGGAAATGAAGATGTCGACTTCATATGTTTGTCATAATCCTATGAGCCATTATTTCTCTAAATCTATTTGACAATCTATTATTTATTTCAAAGCTTAAAAGAGAGATAATATTCCTCATATTGTAATATCATAAAAAAATAAATAAGAAATTGAACAATCAATGAATAATGGTTAAAAGAAAATGAAAACCTTTGCGAAGAAACTCTAAGTTTCATATTTATAGGTGTTGGGCATATCCAAGCCCTTCCATATCTAAATGAATCATATTATACATGTTAAATTAAAATTTTAAATATATTCTTTTATTTTTCTTTATCTTTGTTAAGAGACTTAAGAATCAAGATACTTATATACACCCGTCTTCTTATAAATTCTGTTGATCGAATCACCGTGAATACCTAAATTTAGTTCAATAAATTAATAATTAATGAACAAATTTGATACTCAATAATTAAGCTTTTTTAAGAAAACTAATATAATCACTTATGCATCAAGGTTATCCTACTTTTGCTCAATTGCTCATCTAGAGTACCACAAAATTAACCGGAGATTCTAAGTAGAATAATTTTAAAGACTACTTGCTCTTAGCTTGAAACTTTTAAGTAATTTTGGACCTTAGACAATTGACAATCAGTATCATTTATTATTAGCCAGCTACGTTAAGGCCTGCATGCCATTTCCTTATGTTTTTTTTTGAATAATCTACTTGTATTATCGACATTGTTCTCCACCTATACATAATGGGTCATAAGTTCTGCACTTGCACGAAAAATCTATGACATGCCTTTATACTTTTGGCAAAAATTTATCCCACTACAACAACAATAACAACAACAAAGCCTTAATCCCACTACGTGGGGTTGACTACATGAATCTTTTTTCTCCATTGCGTTCTATTTAGTGTCATATTTTCATTTAATTCTAGTAAATTAAGATCATTTTTAATACAATAAGCCCAAGTCTTCCTAATTCTACCTCTGTCTTTCTTAACACAAGTCAAATCTAAAACATCTACTCTCTTAATCGGATCATTAGATGGTCGACGTTTAATGTGACCAAACCATCTAAGGCGACTTTCTCTAATAAAGTGCTTTTAATGATCTTTATCCCACTAAATTTTTAAAATTCTTTCTCTAATCTCTTAACTTTACTCACATTTTCCTTGCCTAAGATGTTAAATGAACGACTTGTAAATCTTGAATCATAAAAATGAATCTCTGAATCTAACCTTTGAATTCAATTTGCAATTACAATGAGAGCGTAGTACACTTCATGAACAATATTGAATGCAATAAAATCTCTTTTATTAACAAGCATTTAAATATTCAAAATGCACTAGTAATTTTGTGTATTTGCATGCAACACAATGAAATCATTAAAAATTTAGTCTCTTTTATATTTGATAATATTAAAAATTGCAAACGTCATTTAGATGATTATACAAAATCTGAATATTATACATTAAATTAACTATAAAAAAGTTAAAGAAAATTACTACTGTACAAATAATTGATCTCTTACTCTCTTCTCAACTTGGGTTGTATGTGAATGATTTGATTGATGCATCATTAAAAAAAATGTAGTATACAACATGAATTTCAACACTTTTTTTTTTTAAATTAACGTTCGAGGTTGAAATTTATGATTATCAATGGCCCTGATTTTAGCAAATTTATCATCAAACTGACGGTCTTGGCAATATGAACCCAATGATATTAAAGTTGGGTCAACCCGAGTCCAATCAAACCCAGATCAAGTTATTGAAGTATATTTGGAAGATTTTGATCATCAATTGAATAGTTAAAGACACTCTCAATTTGACATAATTATAGTCGAATCGAGCGTCTCAACGTGAAGAATCCAATAATCCCAAAATCACTCAATTTTGAGTCATCATGCCACTAAGTATTGAAGAACTCTTATGATCAAAGAGAATCAGTATGAGTCATCTGAACATGTGGTTGGAAAAGTTATTCATCAAAAGAACAAAATGCCACTATCCTGGGGTGGGGGGGGGTGATGAAGAAAAGGAGGAATTTCATAGTTCGTTATGGACTGAAGACCTAGCGATGACTTCTGACCTCCGTAGTTCCAACCACCGTTCGTCGGCAACCCTCGACCTTAACCACATGCTTCCATCGGAGACCCATGCTTGCAAATGTTGTATTCCAAAAAAGATTGTAACATACAACACCTATATGAAAAACCCGACAATAACTTACGACCTCCATTGATGACCACTGCTTATGACTGTCATAACTAGAATATGACAGTTGTTTCTAACTCTTATATTTTTCTTTATGTCATATAAAGATAAGTGCGTTGTTTGCTGTAAAATGGGGGGGGGTGATGAAGAAAAGGAGGAATTTCATAGTTCGTTATGGACTGAAGACCTAGCGATGACTTCTGACCTCCGTAGTTCCAACCACCGTTCGTCGGCAACCCTCGACCTTAACCACATGCTTCCATCGGAGACCCATGCTTGCAAATGTTGTATACCAAAAAAGATTGTAACATACAACATCTATATGAAAGACCCGACAATGACTTACGACCTCCATTGATGACTACTGTTTATGACTGTCATAGCTAGAATATGACAGTTGTTTCTAACTCTTATATTTTTCTTTATGTCATATAAAGATAAGTGCGTTGTTTGCTGTAAAATTATAAATTTGTTCCCTTGAGTGAAGGGGTTTAGTCGTTAACTACGATTTTTTGTGGTCGTCCACTGCTTATACAACTTTTAACTATGACTTCTATGACCAATTGTTACAATTGTATTCAACAAATATAACATTCATGACAACATTCTATTGTTATAGTTTCCAACTATAGACTATATGGCCAATTACCACTATTATAGATGCAAACTACGTCTTCTATGGCCAATTATTTCTATTACAACCACTAATTACAACCATTATGTTCCCAACTATGGCCTTTTTGGCTGACTGCTACTCTTCCAACCGCCAACTACAATATTTATAACAAATTACTATTGTCACAATTCCCAACTATGACTCATGTCGTCGACTGATGCTCTTGCAATCACCAACTACAACCTTTGTCGCTAATTAACATTATCGCAGTTACCAACTACGACCTTTTTAGCCAACTACTGTTGTTGCAGCCACGGATTATGGGTTTTCTGTCCAAGTACTATTATCACAGTTTTCAACTTCGACATTAGTGTTTGACTGTTGCTATTGCAACAACTTACTACTAACTATGTGACCAACAACTATTGTCATAACCTTGAACTACAACCACAACCTTTTTAGCCAACCTTCACTATTGTAGCCCCCGATAACAACCTTGTGGCTAACTATTATTAGTATAAGTTTCAACTACGATTTATGTGTCCAACTACTTATATTACAACTTTCGATTATAGTCACTTGTGGTGAACTAACATTATTACAATTATCAATTATGGCTACTGTGACCAACTGATGATATTGTCACTTCCGACCATGGACTTTGTGACCAACAACTGCACGTGCAACAACCAATTACGACAATTGTAGCTTACTACTACTTTTAGAGCTTTCAACTACAGCATTTGTGCCCAACTGTCGCTATTGTAGCCACCTAATACAGCCTCCATGATCAGCTGCCTTTGTTGTAGCTAAATTACAACTATCATGGTTTAAATTCTATTGTGCACATGTAATTATTAGCTTTATAATCCCTTATTTTTTAGTTCATGAGAAAAACGAACTTATGTACATACAATTAAATTAATTAATTAGTTTGATTAGGCTACAACCATGATTTTTTTCTTAAATGGGTTCTCCATATAAAAATTATGATGTCCATTTTTACTATTTTTATTTATTTGTATTTGTTGAATTTTTGTGCAGTACTAACACGTTAAAATATCATTTTACCGACATGAATTTTCAACACCCAACAACAATGCTAGACAACAATCATACATAATATGAGAGCAATATTTCTTCAAAATTTAGAATTCAAACTACATAGTTTATATTTTATTGCTAAGCACATAGAAAAATCATATTCATATTCCTCTAAAAAAAAAAACCATTTTAAATCCCTTGTAAAATTCCTGCGAGAGGAGAAGAGCCTACATTGCCTTGACACGAAAATTGACAAGTTTTCTCCATTCTCCTCCCCCCTCCTCTGCAAAAGTTGTCTTCCTCCTATCATATCGCGGACCCCATATTTTTTATTCTTACACCATTAAACTATTCTCCTCTTCCTCCATCATTACCCCCTGCTCGCTTACTTCTCACCTCTTTTTCCCCTTTCCTTTCCCTTCGCAGGAGTCATCATCAACCAGAAACTTCCCGCAGTCCACCGAAGCGTCGGCATCCCGCTGATCGGACCATGCCTTCTTGTTGATTTGCACAACGACTTCCTCTCCCTCTCCATGAAACCTAGCGTTCCGCCGGCGCCGCCCCCGGCCACTCGCCCTCGCCGCCGTCCCGACCTCACCCTCCCCATGCCCCAACGCGACCCTTCTCTCGCCGTTCCCCTCCCCCTTCCCCCTCCTTCCTCCACCTCCATGCCGACTCCTCCTTCCACCATCGGTCAATCCCTTCCCACCCCCACCCCCTCCCACCCCACCCGCGGCATCGGCAGCGAGAGCGGCGGCACCGTCTATATGGTCCGCCACCGAACCACTGGCCGAACCTTCGCCCTCAAAGTCATCTACGGAAACCACGAAGACGCCGTCCGCCGCCAGATCTGCCGCGAGATCGAGATCCTTCGGACGGCTGATAACCCCTTCGTGGTCCGGTGCCACGGCATGTACGATCACGCCGGCGAGATCCAGATCCTTCTCGAGTTCATGGATGGCGGATCGCTCGAAGGCAAAAAGATCTCATCCGAACGCTTTCTAGCCGAGTTCGCCCGCCAGATCCTGACCGGCCTCGCTTACCTCCATCGCCAAAAGATCGTCCACCGCGACATCAAACCCTCGAATCTACTAATCAACGCCGCGCGCCAGGTCAAGATTGCTGACTTTGGGGTGAGCCGGATCCTCGCGCAGACCATGGATCCCTGTAATTCTTCTGTGGGGACGATCGCGTACATGAGTCCCGAGAGGATCAACACCGATCTGAATCATGGGATTTATGATGGTTATGCCGGAGATATATGGAGTTTTGGATTAAGCATATTGGAGTTCTATTTAGGGAGGTTTCCTTTCGGGGAGAATTTAGGGCGGCAGGGCGATTGGGCAAGTCTTATGTGTGCTATCTGCTACTCAAATCCACCGGAGGCTCCACCGACGGCCTCGAAGGAGTTCAGGAGCTTCATATCTTGCTGCCTGCAGAAAGAGCCGGCACGTCGCCTTACAGCTCCCCAACTTCTGCAGCATCCCTTCATCACCCAACTTCAGCCCCCGCCATTACAGTCTTCTTCTTTATGTACTTCCAACTCGTCTCATCCATGAGCACGAGCTTCCCAGTGAATTGAATTGATTGAAAGGATGCTGGGCGTCGATTCAAAGGTGTGTTGACACTCTTCTTTGGCATTTGGTTTTTGCTCTTTGCCACTTTTATCATCATATAATCTGTGGAATTCTACTTCCCAGCTCAGCTCCTATCAAAAAAGGGATTTTTCTATCCCCTCATTCTTAATTTTTTCAATCTAGATCTTGATCTCTCGAATATGGCGATGAGGAGCCGTGTGGTGGTTATAAATGTTATTAAACTTTGGGATGGAAATGGATTAATTGAACTATTGTAAGGAGGAACAGCAAATTCCAAGTTGGGCAATCACTCCCTTTTTCTTTTCCTTTTTTATCTTTTTTCCCGAAATTTGGTTTGATGCTTTTTGATTTGATCACATTCGCAACAATGATGAAGATGAAGGTTTTTTTTTCTTTTGCGATTTTGTTTAATGCTTATCACTATTATGCTAATTTAAATAATGATTAAAATTTTTCTTCACCTAAACTGATAGGAAAATTTTTGTTCTGTCCTTTGAGGGTCATTCTTCTTCGTGAAAGCAGCTCTCTGCAAAAGAAAAGAGCTTGTGCTTTGCTGCAGGATTGTGCAGTAGCTGTATTATGCTGATTTTGTAAAAAAGAGAGTTCGGATGTGAGAGAGTTAATTGCATAAGAGTTGGGTGCTAAGTAGTTCAATTTCCGTTTCTGATTTTATTTGGCAAACAGTTTTCTATTTTTGGAAAAAAAAAAGATTTGGCGGCGTGTTGATGTTGTAATTGGTGATTGTTGTTTTCTGCTGAAATTTTCGATCAGCAAGTTAAAACATAGTTGATATATGGATAAAAAAGAAAATTAAACTTCCATTACTAAGCACTCTTTGAAGGTACATGAAACTGTTTGATGGTAAAGGTTTCTCCTTTAGTACATTTGCATGCAAACCACCCAAGTCCTATGTATTTACATGTCAACACCTAAACTTTACTTTTTATATTCATACCTCTCTTTAATATCACATCAAAAATATCAGTATATCAACTAAAAAGTGAAAGTGAAATACAATACACATTTTCAAGTAAGAGTGCATACATGCAATAATTGAAGTTTAAATGTTAGACACATAAATATCTAGGACTTGGTTGTTATGTATGTAAAAGTTGAAGTTTTTGTTTAGATAAGGTATATTGATACGCCATCAATAAATTTTCAATGTCTAGCATGAATCTCGATGCATAACAAATATCTTTAGGCAAACTTCGATTATGAGTCATTCAAAGTTCTGATTTCAGCAAACTTATAGTCAAATTGACTAGCTAGACCAGACAGACCCAATGATATGAACATTGATCCAATCTGAATCAAATCGAGCACAGATCAAACCACTAAATCACTTTTGGGAGGTTTATTAGCTCATTTGGAATGTCAAATGGATGTCAAATTTGACGAGCTTACAAACAAATTGTGTTTCTTAACAAGACGAATCAAACGAGCTCAAGATTGCTCAACTTTGACATTTTTAAGACCCTCAAATGTTCATCAAACGCCATTAAATCGAGGGAATCTTTCTGGACTGTCTAATCGAAGTGATTCATGTTTATGTTTTAGTTATACCTAGAACTCTATAATTAGAGTCTTGTCACTCTCATAGGAGAGAGCTCGAAGTTTCAAGGAGATGAAGTCCAATGTCACTTTGTCGCCAACAACCAGTTGTCGCTAGCTGTCGACCTCCGTCAACCACCAGTTGTCAACAGTCGCCAACCATCACTTATTGGTTGTTTCCAATCAGCATTGACTGCCACTCACTTCTTACAACAAGTTCATTCGTTCACCGACTTTGTAGTTTGAAAGATTGTGCAACCTTTTCCCACTTGTGAGACAAGGGATCGTACTTGTAATCTCCAGTTTATATTGGATCTCTTCAGCTGGGTCAGATTTCGTGGTTTTTTCCTTTTTTAAGGGTTTTTCACATAAAAACTTCTTGATTCTACTTATTGTTTCTTTCATCTAAGTGTATGTTGAATTCTCGTGCATCATTAAAACAATAATACATTACTCTATCGCCAAGAATCTTCTAGGGTGCATTAGTTCCGTCTGTGAGAAATGAAGCACCTTTTGCCATTTCAATTCTGAGATGCGGATCCCCTACTTCATGTCTCAATGATATACATCATTTAACTGAAGAATGAACTTTTTTTGCACCTTGAAGATCATATCTGGAGCATTGTTCGATGTGTGGGGCAACATTCACTACAATTTTAAAAGGTCGTTCACTTCAACATCCTAGGCATGATTGTAGTGTGTTGTCTTCTCACATCATATTTGAACATAGTTTTTCACAACTTCTAGGTTGGGTGGCAACCTTCACTATAGTCTCAAAACATGTTCATGTTAACATCTCGAGCACAATTGTGGTAGGTCAATCATCCCATATTTCGTTCAGACTACTAGCTTTTGAAAATAGCTTCTAGATTGGGGGCAATCTCAGTCACAATTAACGCCTCTTCACTGTATTAGAGTTCCTCTTCAATTGAATCAGGAAGTTGATCCCTTCAAGTTTTGGTACATTATCATGGGTTGTTTTACAAGCTCGTGTGGAAAACACTTACGGGAGGAACAACAAATTCAAAAGCAGCAACCGACAAATTGTCTGGCAATATTCTTGAGTATGATTGCAACCATATTTTTAAGAAGCATATTGTTCATTGCAACATACGCCTCAGTCTCAAGAAACACATTGCATTTATGACACCACATTCTAGACTTAATTTATTCCAGGGGGAATCGATTCGACCTCTTCTGTCACATGCTACAGTCTTCAAGCAAAAGATTTGACTAACAGTCTCAGATAGGTCAAAAATCCTTAGTGGATTTTCTTCGACATCTTTCATAACAAATTACGATTGTTGAGCAAAAGCTTCAATCAACAATCTAGGATAGTTCAACCGTCATCGATGGATTTCATATGATTTTGTTCATTACGGGTTAATGTCGTTGAGCATTTTCGGCTATATAACTCAGGACATGTCTTACATTCTTAATAGATTCTCCTTTCAATCATACCCCCAGAAGTCTTGCCCCAAGAGGCATGTCTCGATGGGAAGATACAGTACCTCTGCAAGTTGAGCCCAAGATCCAAACTCGATGGGAAGCTATCATACCTCAGAAGACGCAAACACATCAAAGATCTTAGAAGGTTATAATCTTCAGAAGACACGGATACATCAAAGATCTCAAGAGGGTACAAGCCTTTGAAAACACAGATACATCAAATACCTTTGAAGGATACAAACCTCAAGCAGCACATGTACATTAAAGACCTTAAAAGACTACAAGCCTTAGGAGGCACAGGTACATCAAAAAGCTCAGAATGCTACAAGCACTAGAAGACACCGATGCATTTCAAGCTCCTAGAAGGCGTAAGCCTATGAAAGCACGAGCCTTAAAAAATACATGCCTAAGTGAGCACAACCTTAGAAAGCACTGGCCGCAAACAGTACACATTTTTTTTTATATAAATGCATATACTAGCTTTGATTGTAGACTCCCGCATATTTGAAAAGCTAAATAACCTCAGAAGGCATAAGCGTCAGAAGAGGCCTGCACCAATATGCAACTCAAAAGTCGAGTGACAACACCACAGAAGTGGGGCAAAAGAATCCTAGAAGAGGCAACTCTTAACTCAAATAAAAAGACAAAAGCAACATCCACATTTTTATTGCATCGCACCAGAGAAAAAATGTGTAGACAGACACATCATCATTATGTACAAATGTCACATAAAACAATTGAAAGGCTACAAAGTTCAACATATACTTGTACAAGGGCTATAACAGATCAGCTCGTTTTTTAGTGGAGTCGGCATTGCCTCCCCAAAATTCCAATACTTTTGCTGATCTTCAAAGAGTCTCCAGATATCATCACCACACAAGGATGAAAATCTCCACCTCAAAGCATGGCGGGAAAAATCTAGTGTTTCTTCATCTCCATAGGAATGCATAACAGCAATAAACAAGAAGATCCTGAGTCAACTGCTAGGCAGGGAAGTGGTAACTTTCTTCATCTCAGAGATGCGAAAGAAGTTCTTGTTGATCGTCTACTACTTAGGTGGGGGACGACTTTCTTCTGCACTTTCTTCAAGAAAGAAAATCATGTTGATTGCCTCCTATGCAGGACAAAGATCACTTTCTTCTGGGTCGCATTGCAAAAGAATACCCCATTTCTCGTCTTTTACGCATAACGAGAATGACTTTCTTCTGCACTAGAACGCAAAAGAAGAGCTCATTGCTTGTTTGTTGCACAGGACGAGGACGATTTTCTCCAGCACTGGAATGCGAAAGAAGATTTTGTTGCTTGTCTGTTTTGCAAGACGGGACGATTTTCTCCTATAGTGCAATGCATAAGTTATCGTTGCTCGTCTGCTGTGCAAGTCATGAATGACTTTTCTCTACACCTTCAAGAAAGAATATCATGTTGGTTGTCTGCTACACAGAACGAAAACAAATTTCTTCTACACTGCAACATAAAAGAGGATCACGTTGGTCACCCTCTACGCAGGACAATGACTACTTTCTTCTGCACCGCAACACAAAAGATCTCATTCCTCGCCTACTACACAAGACGGGGATGACTCTCATTCACCAGAATATGAAAGAAGATATCGTTGCTCACTATGCAGGACAGGGACGACTTTGACTTGTACTGGAACTCTAAAAATGTCGTTGCTCACCTGCTACAATGGACAAGACGACTTTCTCCTGTAGCACAACACAAAAGAAGATTTTGTTGTTTATCTACTAAGCAGGTCAAGGATGACTTACCTTTGCACTTTCTTCAAGAAAGAAGATTATGTTGGTCGTCTGTTACATAGGACGAGAACGACTTTCTTTTGCACCACAATATGAAAGAGGATCCTGTTAGTCGCCTATAACACAAGATAGAGACGACTTTCTTTTGCGCCGCAACAAGAAATATGATCTCATTGATTGTCAACTACACAAGTCAGGAATGACTTTCTTCTTCTGAGAAATCTCGGATCACTTGTTAGGCATGGGGACTTCACCTCCATCATCATCTATTTTGCCTATTTATAGACTAAAAAATCACTAATACTTATGGCTGAGAATTAATTCAATTCATTAAAATAATAATAATAATAAAATAATAATAATAATAATAAATCGAAATTTACATTAATTTACTTGTCCTTCGGACTCTAGCTTTCATCTCACGGTCTTCGTCTTTCTCATTCTTTAAAAAAAAAAAAAAAGTGGCAAGAATTTTAATAATTAAAAAAAAAATTTGAAAAAACAGTTATTAACATTAAATAAAAAAAAAAAAGCTGAATTTTACG